CTAAGGTTTTGAAAATGGTTCCGTTTCTTGGATAAATTGATTAGGTGATGCAAGGAATCAAGAAGATACTGAGCTACGACAAGCTTGGAGGATGGGCACTGTTGAGCAAAGGACCTGAGATAGTGATGATCGCTCACGGTGCCATTGAGAGGACTATGAGCGTTTACGACCGGACCTGGAAAACCCACGTTCCGACCAAAGGCTACACCAAAGCAATTTACGACCACCACCACGATGAGATTCTCCGAGACACGGGGAAACCATGCGGCCACTTTGATTTCCACATCACTGCTCGGAGCGGTCGGATTCCGGAAAAGATGAATTGCTTCGAGTGCCAGCGTCCGATGGAGAAGTACATGAGCTTCGCTTGTTGTCACGACGAAAAGCTTCTTGACCAAGAGGAGAACTACAACTTCTAAAACCACTCTCGCTTCTCTGCCTGCCCGGTTCTTTTCGCACTTTATTTTTAAGTAATTATCATTTTAATTTCTTAATAATAATTTCTGAAATTTCAATGTCTTTCTTTGTATGTGGTTTGGCCTTTGTGAACATGTTGGATTGTAATACTTCTAGTGATTTTCAATAATAAAAATATATGACCTTTTTTTTACAATAGTATTAAAATGGGTGAGTGAAGAAGACCCACTACATCAAAAGAAAATCTTGGTTTTTGATGTTCTTATAATGTTTCTAAATTCAGTTTCATTAAATGGACACCACCAACATACAACTTTCTATTCTTTCTAGTTTCTAATGTTTTACTATTAATTATCACTCACTTATATTCTTATCATTTTCTAATTGATTCTCTGTCATTTATTGGCTTATCTTCTTATAAATGTCTTTTTGTGTTAGTTGCTGATATCTCATTTTCTTGTCCATTGAATTATAGCATTTCAATGTGTCCCTCATGTCGTCAATATAATGTTTTATTTCCTTGCTTTGAGCCACATCTCCATGTGTGGTCCCGTCTTTATCAATCTCACTTATTTGTTCTAGATCAATTCCTAATAAAGTATGAAAATGGTTACTAGTTTTTATTATCAGAACACAAATCCATATTTTTCCTTGTTTCGAAAATCGTATTACTTTTAGAATCTATCATAAAGTAAATTAGTCTAAATCAAGGCAAAACGTTAAGTATATGTCAATAGAACACATATGGTCTAATCATAACCTAGGCATGGTTTTAGCTCACAACCCACATGCTATTGTCCACCTTATTTTGTCTCAGCAGAACAATTGGTTCTTGTAAGCCTAATCTATATATACACTCTTAATTGAATTATTAATCCAAACCCAATTTTCCTGAAGGACAAACCCTTTTTTTTTAATAGCCTGTCCACTTCTACTTGACTTTGATACATGAAATTAGGGGTGACAACCTAATGCTTATTCATTCGATTATTTTTCTGTATTGTGTAAAATTTATTTAAAACAAAACAAACGTTTTTACAATGATTCATTCATTTTTAATATATTTACCTTTCTTCTGACATTCTAACATAACATATTTGACTACTCAGGTCCATTTTCTTTATCGTTATAGTAAGAACCACCCCACAAAATAACACTAGATCTTCTCTTTGATCTAAAATAAATACTATTTAGAATCGACGTCGTCTCTCACTGCAGGGTTTCAGTCGCGTAGATACATCACTTCATCCACCAAAAACTCTCATATGTATTCGTACAATACCAAGGTAATATTTTGTTCTTATCTTTTAGGGAACACAATAATCTTGAGAGTATAGTGTAGTACTGTAGTGGTTGATACATTGTTTTGGCTTTGTAGTGTTTCTTCTCAGATGATAAGGGCCCTCCAACTCCACCTCCTTCTGATTCTTCAAAGAACGATGTTTCTTCTGATTATGCAAAGAAGGAGGATTCTGAGGTTGTCAACGAGGTTGAGCAGAAGAACTCTAGAGTTGCATATGATGGGAAGTTGAAAAGCTGGCTTCTCAACTTTGGAGCTACCACTTTACTTGTGTGGCTTGGAAAGAGGCTGCCTCGGGTAGGGATCTGGTCCAAATCTCTTGCAACTTATACTCACTTACTTGAGGATAGGATTATCACTTTCTTCACTCGTAAGCAACTTCCCTCGACAGCTGTGCTTACCGACGAAGCTGCGGCTGAGAAGCTTGCTTCACTATCTCTCCCTGTCCTCACCAAAAGCTTTAGAGTGCTGTTGAAGTATATATTCAGAACCGTTTTTGGTGGTGTCACAATTTTAACAGGTTATGGAGTTTCCATCGACAAAGTTTTTGATGAAACTGCTTCGCTAATTGGTATCGGAACATGGAGTGGTACAAAAACACGGTAGGGAGGCTCTTGAAGATTGAGGCGACAGAGAAAGACTGTTTGAATATGAAAGAGAGGCTTGATGTGACCGAGAAAATATGCGCCGAGTTGAAAAACAGTGGTAAGGACTGTATTGATCTGAAAGAGAGGCTTGATGTTACGCTAAGAAGAAGAAGACATGGTTTGAATATTACAACTTTGATTGTGTTTAGCTTGATCTAGAATAAATACTATTTTGAATCGTATCACTGGAAAATTTTGGTTTTCTTCTTCTTATAATGTTCCAAATTTCAATTTCATTTAATGGACCCCCATGAAGGTTTTATTCTTTCTAGATTCTAATATTTTACTATTGATTATCACTTATATTCTTATCATTTTCTAATTTATTATCTGTCATTTATTAGCCTATCTTCCTTTCTTTTTTCCCAACTTTTGGCGTATCTTCTTATAAATGG